GGATGCGGCTTAGTAAAAATGGTTAATCCTTCCATTTGGTTGGAAAAACAACAAGACGCAAAACCACAAATTGCAAAAGGAACTCGACGGTTACAAAGCGCCAATTATATTATATATATATAATCTTTTGTTTGCTTTTTGTTAGTTTCTGCTATTTTCATGCGACTTCATTCTCTATTTCAGCAATTAAAAGTTAAGTGATTTTGCCAAATTGGCAATTTCATTTAATTGGATTCATTAAAACTATGGTTATATTATCTTTACTGATGTTGTTGGTTATGGTAACTAAGATATCTTAGATGGGTTCCTGTTTCTTAGCACCGCTTACGTGATTATAGCCGAATCAATGTTAAAGCGTCATTCCTCTCTTCTTCCTGCTGTCTGGCGTCAGTTGGAAATATCATGTGAAGCCAGGGCACTCTCCACTTGATCCTTCAAACAAAGTGGAGGTCTGCCGGTCTTCCTGCGGATACTGAATCGAATACTTTCAAAGCTGGAGTGCTCCCATCCGTTCGATCGACATTACCTAGCCAGCGTAGCTGCTGTCTCTTCATTCGCTGAACTATGTCAATATTATCGTATAGCTCGTACAGCTCGTTGTTCCATGGTCTGCGATATTCGCCGTTACCAATACGCAAAGGACCATAAACCGTTCGCAAAACTTTTCATTCTACTACTTCTAGAGCCGACACATCAGATTTTGACATCGTCCATGCCTCTGCACCATATAGTAGGACGGGAGCAACTTTTCCATCGTAATCAATTAGAGTTTCGGGCTCACCATCTCCGGGTGTTTCGTTTTCACTGCTATTCAGCAGGCTGGGGAAATGTTTCTTCAATAGAAGCAGTATACTCTGGGCAAACGTCTCTAGGTCCCCCTGCTTACTCGAGGATCCCTTCGTCAGCCTTCCGAAATAAAACTCCATTTAATCGTACAATATTTGTGTACAGCTTTATTAGGCGAAGAAGGAGAATTCGAAAGTTTGTCTTCAATGCATTCTTTATTTTCAAATTGCCTGTATAGGAATTCTTCCTTTTGTTGCCAAGGGTTGCGAGAGATTGCTTCCATAGCATTCGAAAATTTTCTGGTAATGCGGATGAGCATATATTTACCAGGATCGGGTCCAATCGAAAAGTGGGTGTGGAGAGATGACACAGGAAAGTATCAACATTCGAATATGTGCATTTGAGAACACATTCGCTAGATTTTCAATTGTTCATATTCGAAATTTGGGTCAACGACCTTTAAGTTTGCGTTACTAAAATTCTTGATATTGGAAATAGCAAGTTTATCTTGTAGGCTTGGAATTTTTTATTTTTGTTGGGCAAACAAGCACGTGTGTGGGTGGATGTTTGTGAGGTATACAAAATATATATATTGTATTTTTAGGTATACAAAAACAAAAATATTTATGAACTTTTTGAGAAAACGTTCTTAGCACTATTAATAATATTTGCCCCTTTATTGGATTCCACTGGTGAAATTCCTTTGAATGCCTTTGACCCGATAGGTATTCTTTCGATATTAACTGGCCCCTCTGCTTCTGCTGGTATCTTCGGATCTTGAGCTATATTTTTTGATTGTGTTGTTGTTTTTTATTTTACATTTTACATAAGTTTTATATTTGCTTCTCTCGCTGTTTTTGTTTCAATTTATATAAAGTGCACCTTTGAAAATGTTGCTGAATTAATTTTCTTTTAGGTAGTGTATTTTTTTATTTCATATTTTGTTATTAAATGACACATAGGATGTCAATTGAAGGTTGGCTTGAAAGGTCCCTTCCGAAATAAAACCACTCACGTACTCCGTTTAATAGAACAATGTTTTTTTTACAAATTATTTGTAAATTTGTATTCTAATATCAAATAATTTTGTTTAATATCAATGTTTCTAAATGCAAATATAATATTTTACAAATGTATTTATAAATATATATTTTCTTATATTTTATTTTAAATATTTTAGCCCCATGCTCGCTTGCCGATTCGTTTAATAGAAATTAAGCTTCTTGCTTGGCAAGCAAGGTGGAAGAAGGATCATTAGGGTGCGCACACATAATTAGGTTGGTGTCCTATTTGAGGGTACGCTTAAACACCCCTCCGGATCCTACAAGAGTTCGCTACGGTATTGAAATCTTCCGTAAGTGGCTGTATCTTTTCGTAGAATTTTCGATCATTATCCTTGTCGGCCACCTCTTCAAGTTGTTCATACTCTCGGATTTCGGTCTCTCTCCTTTTTTCCTGCAAATACATCGCTTTCGCGTTGTGGTCGATCGCAAGGTTATGAGGCAGGTCCTCATCGTACCAGCTGTTTTTGAAATATTTCCGAAATTTAATAGTTTGTTGGGTCCAGAGGGGTGTTTAAGCCTACGCAGGGAGTTTGCTGAGCCGTCCCACAGCTCTCTAATGCCGGGTTGCTGAAAAGTACTCTCGGAGAGCAGGTTTGAAAGTCGAGTGGAATACCGCTCTGCCGTCTGTTGTGATTGGAGTTTTTCAATGACGTATTTCCTTGTGTTTGTTGCCGGGCGTTATTCGATTCACAGAGACGTGTGCGTGTCCTCGCTGCGACAGGATAGTGATCCGAGCCGTTGATAGGACCTCAGATCGTGCGAACATCTAAAACACTGGATACTTGTCTTCCGTCTATCACAACATGATAGGTCTGGTTAAATATTCTCAATCTTGAGATAGCCAAGTAGGTAGGTGAATTTCCGCGTGCCAAAGAAAACCGAAGTCGATCAACCTCAGCCTATTTTAGGATGTTTCATCGTGGAGGTTGAATTTTCCGACTGTTGTTCCAAAAAAACCTTTTTTGCTCACCCCAGCGGTGAAATCGCCAAGATGAATTTTGACGTCACGTTTTGTGGATTCGTCGAAGGCAACCCGACGTTTCGCAATGGTGCGGTAAAAAATATGTTGTACTTGTTGTTTGTGGCTAATGACATAGCGACGCGACGCGTACTCATTCAAGTAAGAAATCTATTTCAAGTTTCTATTTCTCATTTTTACTCCAAGTGTTTAAATCTACGAGGAGCAAGATTATATGCGTCGCCAAGAAGGGTAAGGTTTATTTTGTTTTTGTAAGCAAATGCAGTGAATGCTCTCTCAGAGATATACGAGAATAACTCTCTTTAAAATGTTGGACACACTCGTCACCTTCTTCAGATGGTCAGGGAACGAAAATAAAACAGTTCTCTATTTTCAATTACTCAATGAATGACTGTCTTGTCGCTGTTTAAACTCGTTTTTTTCTGCATGCGGCTAGCGACGCTAATGGTTTGTTGGTATTTGAAACCACTCAACCTGTAGTGTTTTTTATAATATTGATAAATTATTAGCAATGCGCATTTGCCCCGCGCTCATTATATCAAATATCAAGTCAGTGCACTTTAAAAAACAATAGATCAGCAAGAGTGGCAAAAGATGATATTTAACATTCCAGAACAAGGCTCCTTATTGACAAAAGCAGGAACGACAATGGTCTTTGGAGTCGCAGAGTATCTAGAAACTTGAATCGCTTGAAGACGCTACCAAAACAGCTCTATTGCCTTATTTTTTCTTTGAGTTTTTACCCACATCGTCTAGGTGTATGCATTACATCCCTAATATTATCTCATACGGGACCGCTTCTAAAGAAATATAGCCCAAGATCTTAACTCGGCGTTTTATGTGTCAACAAGTCTTCTACCCACTTTGCCTACGTCGTAACAAAATGTATTAATAATACATTCAAAGTTTGTCAACGCCCGAAAACGCATATAGTTACCAGAGTGGAACCAAGATTTACGAAGCGACGAGAACAACCCCTAGCGGCTGATGAACGTCTTACGTTTGCCCTCCCGTGTTAATTAATTTCTTTTAACAGCTTTGCTTTGACCTCTAGGAGCGCGTCGAAGAATTGTTGGTGATATGTTTCTTCGAGTTTGCGTGGACCAGCTTCATCAAGCTTTCAACATATTCGATCTGGACAAAATGTTCAGCATTATTGAGCTCGCAAAGACGGTGGTTTTCAACACAAGGACGCCAAGGTTTTCAGTGTTATCAGTTGATACTTAATCGAGGCAACTCTCCTTATACCCAAAGAAATAGGTTCAAAGCCATTGATCGGCTAACGGAACGTAATAACCCTTCTTTACGTCATTATCTTTTGACATTTTGTTTATTGAAATTATATGATTATGTACAGCACCATAATTGAAGGAATGTAGATAGAAATAACTGTGATTTATCAAGTTATGCCGTTATGTAGTTATCTGCGGCAAACACATTAACTTTTTTTCAAGCAAAAAAAAAGATTTTAAAGAAAATTACCGAAACTTTGTTTGGTCGATCACGTCGGGGTCACCACATGTATGAAGGGAAAGCTAGTTTTATACCACTTATTTACAAAAATTTTAGAACTTAAAGTTTTTAAAAGCCATATTTGAATAAATGTGTATGCGCTCATCTTTTTCTAACAATCTACATAATAAAAATTGGTAAATGCTTCTGCTCTTATTGCACCTAACACTTTTTGCTAGAAAAACACGTACGATATCAGTAGTGAAATGGTTACACAAAACGGGATAAGGTATTAAATTAAAAGCAATTGCCTTTTTATATGAAGATAACTGATATTGACTTCTGGTTTATCCAATTTTAGTTCCTCCAAATGCCTTCTCCGTTATTTACTGTATGCATCCGTAAAACTTGGCGACACGCTCGAAAAATGTCAGAAATTTTTTATTAGAGTTTAAAACTACAATAATAAATAAGCTCTGTATTTCTCAATGCTTCTTAACCTGAGTTAAGCTTATAACGGCTAGTTAGCAAACCTGTAGTTGCACAGAGCGGGTAGCCCGGACTATACCTGGTTTTCGGTCACCGTTCTGATGGATTTTTCGTTTATCCTTCAGGCGCAGCTCCCGGTAGATTGTGCGGGAGGTTGAAAAAAGCTAGACTCATCGTCAAAGACACAATATAATAATATATAAATCTTTTATGTTCTTCTATTTTTTTAGGTCGTTGGTAAATGGTTTAAGGAATTGGAGCTCAATATAGCGGATGTTGTGTGGAACAAGGAGTATGACTTGCCAACATCTGCCTGTTCTTTACCATGCGAATTAGGAATGATCAAAAAACAACAGGTATAATCAGCTTTTATTATATTAATCTAAAATATTTTTTTGTATGCTCTTTTAGCCAGTTATTTCATTACGCTGATTTGCATGAAAATATCGTCTCTGACGAGTTTTAGTAAATCGGATGAGCAATTTTCGAGTTAAATGATGAAAATATTTTTCTATGTCAAAAAAAATCATATTGCTATAAGCTTCCGATAGCTCCATTAAATGTTGTGAAATGTTATTTCCCAAAAAATATATTTTAATCACAAATGTTTTCTCAATTCAGTAGGTAGGTAAAACAAGAAGCAATAGTTGTCTTTAGCTATACCGTAGTCTTTATATCTTTCACAATCATATTCATGGTGGTTCACTTTAGGAATAAATATTAATTCTCATATCAGAAAAATTATCTGGAGATGAAGTTTTTCGGTTTCGAGAATTAACGGTTTATTTGTATATACATGTGTAGTAATCTAAATTTCCAGCTCTTAGAAGATTTTTAGACAGAGTTACGACGAAAGCCTCATATCAGGAAAAACCGATATATGAATGCTTTATAATATAATATATTATAAAATATTGTATAATAGTCACCTAATTTCGACCATTTTCAATACCGACTCACTACCCTTTATGTGTGCTCTGAATTGAGATTAACTTTTTAGTTAATTTGTCATGAAGAAGTAAAAAAATAATGCATTAGAGTTATTTGATTTTTTTTAATATAAACAACTTTTATTTATTTAAGGTTCAAATTTTATTTAAAATATATAAACTGCTTCTTCACCACCATAACCATAATCATAGTCATAGCCATCTTCGCTCGAATTGTCATCAACGTCTTGATCATCAACATAATCAACTTCATTATTATTGCCTTGCTTCATCACGGTAAAAGCTACACTATTTTGTGGTAATTTTCTTTTAGTAGATATAATGGTGGAGAATATGTTTTGACTTGCTTTCATTTGCGAGAAAAAAGTTCTCTTAAAGTAAAATATCTTAGTTTCAAGCTGCTGAGCTTCTGATTGTTTATGGGGCGTAGGGCGTAGGATATTGTCTCTGGTAAATGGATGAAGTATTTGCGAAGTGTTGGATGCATGTTATACCAAGGATAACATTCAACGAAATATTTTCCTGTATTTAAAGCGTAGTCTCGCAATTTCTGACCGTCAATATCGAACACACTAGAAACAACTACGAGTATGTATGCATATTTTTAATCGAATGTATATCAACTTCAGTAATTGCTACTGACATCTCGGAGTTTTGAAAGAACGTCTGGAAGAATTGTCATCATCAGGATTCTCAAAGCCAGGTTTCAGTTGGTCAACAATCAGACTAATTTTGTCTTTAAGTTCATTTTGAATGTTTCCTTTTCCAAAACTAATAGTGTCTTGCTTACTGTTCGAGCTTGCCACTTTTTCATGCACACACAGTCTAACTTCTTTCACCAGAGCCATTGCGGTCGTTGCTTTACGGTGAATCACCAAATTCGAATCATTTTTTACAAAATTCTAAAATGCATAACTATTGTTTGTGGACATAATAAAGATAATTAGAATCGCGAGGACAGTCGCTGAATGTGTGTGGCATAAATCTGGAAATACCATGTCTTTCTCACCAGCGTGTTCACGAGTTGGAAAGCCATATTATCTGTACATTTACGCACCGGAACAGAAACCAAAAATGTTGCTTATCAAGCTGTGTTACATTGAGAAAAATGTAGACAAATCATAATTAAATGATTTTCAACACAATAGAAATTCAACTTTCTTTTCTTTTCACACAGGACAACACCTGAGGGGTCAGCTAGTAATATAATATATTAAGATAGTTTGAATCTGAATGTAAATTATTTGAATGAACTCCATCAACAGAAATCAATACGGTAGTAGGCAAGTACAAACAACAAAGATAGTTTTTTGAAACGTGAACATGGTCATTTCTAAAAAAATTGCTTTAATTAAACTAAGCGGTTTCAACAAGAAAAGATCAAGCGGCCCAGTTTCTGCATATTAATCTAAACGATGTGCTACCAACAAATAAAATTTCAAGTGGATCGAATCGTAACTTATCTCACATGGATCGGTTACCCGGAGTCTCTTAAAACAGTTGTATTTTACGGTTTATCCGTTATCAATTCAGGAAAGAATATAAATAAAGGGTTTCTAATTGAGCGAAATCGCAAATACACTAAAATTTAACCAAATGCCCCATTCTGAGAGTTATTTTTTCCTTCACTTGGATGCAATATATCTATTCTCGAGTCGAACTATAAATCAACATTATTCGAATTGATCGGTCCCAGGCCCTCTTCCCGGTTCGAAGAAATAAATGTAATGTTATTTTCAGACCGACTGAAAATGCACCTAAAATTTTATTGAAATCGGTCCAACCATTTCGCTGGAGTATCGTGTGTAACACTATGGTACGAGAATTTTACATATTAGACTAGGTGTACCTTGCAACGCTTCGCTGTCACACATACTCATTCAAGGTATGAAAGTTTAATAATTGGATATCTTTTTATCATGACTTTATGTACTCAAGACTTGGGGAATACAAAATTTTTGATTTTTCCATTGACATTGGTCCACTTCCCGGAGAGAGGAATAGCCCGACTTTTTGAATAGGCAAGTCCTCGATCCGAACCATAAATAAGAGTTTTTCTAATAAGTGAGTGACTGGTTCACTTCCCGGATATAAAAGTAGTCTTCCTGTCAATCTAAATTAAAAGTTTCCTGTGAACCGAATTTCAAATAAATGGAACTTCCTGTTAATCTAAGCAAAATGTCACCAACGTAAGAAATTTTAAATAAATCGATCCAATAATACGTTTTTTTACTGACTTTACCAGGTCCTTCTCTACCTGGTATTTTCAACCGATCGGAGGTTTTCCTCTTCCTCTGCTTCCACCGGCGTGTACTGCATCGAAAACTTTCAAAGCTGGAGTATTCGCATCCATCCGGACCACATGACCTGCTGCTTCTTGATTCGCTGTACTATGTCAATGTCGCCGTAAAGCTCGTACAGCTTACCTTTCCATCGTCTGCAATGTACGCATTTTCCAACGCGCAAAGGACCATAAGTCTTACGCAAAACTTTTTTCTCGAAAACTCCTAGCACCATCTCATCAGATATATTGATCTACACTCTACCAATGTCAATACCATAATTTCAAAATTATCTTACATTACACCAATTTTGCTCGCTGTTATAGCGGTACTCATTTCGCATTCAAAAATAAAAATAAAATATAAAATTTTTGAAGCATCAATGAAATGAGTATAATCGCCGCTATCAACCGACACTCATATTTTTTGGAAAATTTATTAAAAAAAATTTACAGTTCATATAATATTCCACAAACCTTCCCGATGATAAGGGATACAACGGAACGGGGAGTGGGGAACTTATATAAAACCGTCTTAACCATTGTATCTTACAAACTACCTCTATAGTTTTGGACAAGACTTAAAACCATAGAAAATCAGCTTAATGAGTTATAGATAGGGGATATATTTATAAACGTATATTCTGCTTTTTTACTAGCGTAAACACCGCCAGGGGATTATAGCCGAGTAAACAACATTGTGCCATTCATTTCTCCAAATAGTTGACACAGCCGGCGCAGCTGCGGCTTCGCGGTTCGCTGCAGCTCCCAACTCTCTCTCTCTCTCTCTCTCTCTCTGAAAAACTTCTGAGGCCTAATCATAAGATGCTGTCATCATCCATGGCCCCGCACCGTATAGCAGAACAGGAACCATAAGCGATCTGCAGAGTTTGAATTTCGTTCGCAGATCCATACATCAATATCGGTTTTATTGTTGCATTATATATGAGGACTTTGTTGCTAAGGCTAAGTCCAGACTTCTTGTTTAAAAGCCAATGTAAACTGGGAGATTTGAGTTTAAGCTGCATCTTTTTAGACGCAATATGGCGTCTCTAGGTTTAGCGCCTGTCCAAGTGGATTCCGAGGCATACAACTTCGTCATCTTTCATCGCACGTTTTTGGTCTTAGAGTGATGTGTTTGCACTTGTTTTCATTTCCTTTTTTCCGCCATTTCGCTAGCCATTCTTCAGCGATTTACTTGTTCAATCGAGCCTTGTTTTTCCCGAAAACCAAAATGATGTGTAGAAATAAAATAACATAATTTTGATGGAGAAATGGAGTAATTTTTGATAGCAGCACTTTTTCGAAAAATTTGGATTGGCAAGGCAGGATTGTGTCTTAACCTTGTTTAGCAATAATAATTATCTGCGACGTTTTCCATATATGTGGATAATATCCTAGCATTAAAATGTCATTGAAAAGCTTTGCAAGAAAAACGAGAGCAATGCTTGGCAATTTTTTTTTTAGCATTTTTGGTGAGATATGATCGTCACCTGGAGATTTCTTTACATTTGAGGCGGTAATAATGTTTTTTAGTTTAGACACAGACGCTCGATTGATTTTCTTGAAACGTTATAAATTTGTGTTTTGTATTCGATGATTCAGTGAGTTATTTTTACAAGCGTATGAAACGTTATAAATTTGGGCTTGGTGTTCGATAATTCAGTAATTACATGCGTATGGTTTACATATGTACTTAAGTTATGTGAAATTCGTCGACGTGTTGCGGGTTTAAAAACGATTAAAAGATGATTGTGCCGCTGATGGCTTCTTTAGCCCGTTAGTTAATACAAAAAGAGTTGCTGGTTCGGAACGTTAGCAACACTGGGCGACATTGGGCAGCACATCGCCCATGAACCATTACGCAGTCTCAACTATACTTCAGTGCTTACTTTGGGCTTAAGGTTTTTGCTAGCTTTCGACAGAATATTCTTTTTGTAGAAATGTTGGGGGACAAAAATGTTGTAAGATTTTTGATGTTTCTTTCTTCTCCGTATCTTAATGCCGTTTCCAGGTTTTTTTTTCGCCACCTTAAGACGAATTTTCGCAGCGGGAGATCGGCAGGCTTGCCATTCGCGACGCATACACCGCTTGTTTTGGACCAGCAGTTATTTTCCGCTATGAG